GGGAGGGAGGGAGGGAGAGAGAGAGAGAGAGAGAGAGGGCCAGCCCATCATGAGGGCCCCACCTTCATGGTGTGTATGTTGTATGTTTAAAAGTTTATATAAATGGTATGTAATAGAGCTCATTTAGTTTTTACTTTTTTCTGCACTCAAAATTAGATTTTGAGGCTTATTCATGTGGTTATATGTAAATCTAGCTTATTGCTTCAGTTATATGTATATGCCATATTTTATTTTTTATCCCTTTAGTGATGAAAAGATTCAACTTTTAAAAAGATAATGTTCTCTTAATCCCTAAAGATTTTATGAACTTTGATCTCCAAAATGGTGTTAATACCCTACAGTGCTATTGTGCAAGCAGTAATGGTGTTATTGTTTGAATTCCCATCTGATTGTTCCCAGGTTGTTGTAATCAAAATACCTGGCATTCCAATTGTTCTTGTTTCTTTATAGGTCCTAGTGACAGTGTTCAGGGGATGGGAAGTCAGAATAGGCTAGCATTCTGCCTAGAATATTCTAAAACGAATAGTGATTTGATTTGTTCAAGATGTTTTCCACTAGCTATACTTTTCTTTTCTTGCTTAATTTCAGGACCACTAAGTCATCTAGCTGGGCTAATAATCCGGGTGATTATTCCAGTCTCAGTGACTCTCAGTTCCTCTTTGGATCCCAGTTCTGTCCAGAAAGTTCAGAGACCCTGTCAGCACCTTTGGACGTTGGTGTCCATTTGAGAGACCCAAAACCGTTACAAAAGGGTTCTCTGGATGTGAGTCTGACTGCCAGAATTTCTCTGCACACATTTCACCGCCATTATGGAGATAAGCATAAAGATGACTTATTCTGTTGAATTATATTTACTCTTCTAACTGGATTTGTGCTTATTGGTGATTCACTTGACTTGGTAGTTTGAAATGGAGAAAATATCTATATTTGCAGTTTCTTTTATTACTAAAGCATCCTATATAATAAAATGGTAATATGCAAATTGACTGAATGGCAGAATGACCGGTCGTATAACGCGCACTGACCACCAGGGGGCAGATGCTCAATGCAGGAGCTGCCCCTTGGTGGTCAGTGTGCTCCCACAGGAGGAGCACCGCTCAGCCACAAGCTGGGTTGACAGCTGGCAAGCGCAGCAGTGGTGGCGAGAGCCTCTCTTCCACTGTAGCGCTAAGGATGTCCCCCAAGAGCTCCCAGACTGCTAAAGGGCGCAGGCAGGGCTGAGGGGAAACCCCCCCCAAGTGCACAAATGTTGTGCACTAGGCCTCTAGTATAGAATTGTTCCAGTACCTTGACCACTTCTAGAGAGATCCAAATATTGCATGACATTTTCTATGACTAGTCATACTATTATTTATAAACATTTCTTAAGAAAAAGAACTTTAGAAAAGTTGGAATAAAGTACGTAAGTTTTATTTTAGATGGACATTTTTTCTAGGAAATGTCAGGTGCTGTGTGGATTATAGTGTACTGTGCTACCTTATCTCCTTGAAGAAGGACATGAGGGTTCTAAGTTAATAAATAAGGGCCAGAGGGAGAAACCAAGTCTCTTGAGTCCTTGACTTTTTAGACCAGCATGTCTTCTTTTGTGAGTCAGAAATAATTTTATGTATTTATTTATTTTGGTCTAGAACTAGATTTGACTTTATATACAGATTCATGTGCATCAAATAGAAACTTAACAAATAAGCTTAGCTCAGTGCTTTAAGTAGTAGGGTATGCTGTGAGATGAGCATTTCATACAAACACTGTGCCCAGTGGCATGAAGGAGCAAATGTACTCCTACATGCTCCAGAGTGCACTTTGCATCGGATGCAGGGATTGGCTCACTATGTGTCCGCATGCCCACTGTCCAGTTCATGTCCATCTTACCAGCTAGTCTACTCCACTAGCAGCTGAGCAACAGTAATTTGAGCTAAACTGGTTAATACGAAAATGTTAACACATCACCTCAGAGATAGTATAAATAATTTTCTGTAGTAAATAAACTGAGGGTTGCCAGAGACGGGGAGAGGGGTAGGATGTTGGGCAGAAAAGGGGAAGGGGATTAAAAAATACAAACTTTCAGTTATAAAATAAGTCCCAAGAATGTAATGTACAGCATAGGGGATAGAGTCAATAATCTATAATAATAAAAGCATAATATGCTAATTAGATTGGATGTCCTTCCGGACAAAGCCGGGGTTGTGAGGAAAGCCCAGGTCCTGGGTGCCTGCCAGCAGCCAGAGGGAAGCCCGGGTCCCGGGTGCCAGAGGGAAGCCGGTGCCAGCAGCAGGGGGAAGGAAAGCCTACTCTTGCGCGAATTTTGTGCATCGGGCCTCTAGTGTTGTAATAACTATGTAACATGACAGATGGTTACTAGACCTAGATCACACAGGTGGTGATCTATCTCTTTGGAAGGTCTATAAATGTTGAATTGCTATGTTGTACACCTGAAACTAATATAAATAATATTGTATATCAACTATAATTAAAAATGAGATTTAAAAGATATAAATAAAATAGTTGATGGGAAAAATAATTATCTGTTGTTGCCTTTAAATTTATGCAATTGATTTGAAGCCATTTTAGCTGGCATTTTATATCTCTCTGGGCCAGTAATGCAGAAACTATATTAATAAAAAGAGTTGTTTTTTTAAATATAGTTTTCTTGAATATATGAACTAAAAAGGAAATACTACATGCTATGTTATTTAATATTATGATTTTCACTTACTGGTATTATGATTATGACTCTGCATTGTATAGAAAATAGTGAATGTTATAGGTATTTTTATATGTGAAATGCTATAATGATTTTTTAACAGAATGAACCTAGTATTTTCACAAAGTACCAGACAAAACCCCAGCTGTTTGAAGAAGATATAAATGATGGAGGCTTATTTCCTCTTCCTTTGCCAGTTGGAAAATCAAAAGGCCTTTTGGAACAGTTTGAGGAGAAAAAGAAAATAGCAAAAGATAAATGTGACAGGTATGCAAACCTTTCAAGTAGACAAGATATCTTCTCTTTTATGAGGGAAACAGAAAATGGAATGCCAATAGTGACTAATTCAATTTCAGCGTGATAGCACTCTTGCCTTTATAGCTCATCTAATTATTACTCTTGTTGGGCCAGTGTGGCTCAGTGGTTGAGTGTGGACCTATGAACCAGTAGGTCACAGTTTGATTCCCGGTCAGGGGCACATGCCCAGGTTTCAGGTTCAATCCCCAGTAGGGGGCGTGCAGGAGGCAGCAAATGATCAATGATTCTCTCTCATCATTGATGTTTCTATCTCTCCCTCTCCCTTCCTCTCTGAAATCAATAAAAATACATTTTTTTAAAAAATTACTCTTTATTTGCTTTCTTGTCAGTATAACTTGTAGCAGATTTGAATATGGCTGCCAGTTTTGGCCCCTCTGAAAAGTCAGCTAAAGGACTTCTTAGAAAGAAAATATTTGAGAGACAACCAAGATGGCGGCATAGGTAAACACCTGAACTTGCTGCCGCGCACAACCACATTAAAACTACAACTAAAAGACAAAACGAATATCATCCAGAACCACAGGAAGGCTGGCTGAGTGGAAATTCTACAACTAGAAGGAAAGAGAAAAGCGCATTGAGTCCAGTAGGAGGTGCAGAAGTGCAGAGGTACAGAGGCGCACGCGAAAGGGGCTGGCAGCTGGGTATGCTGTTGTCTTTTTCAATCGGGAGGGAGATACAAGCTCCCGACTGCTCTGAACTTCAGTTACGGGAGAGAAGCTGGGAACCCAGATTCATACGGAGAGAAACTGGACTGTCTGGCATCGGGCCAGAACGCGAGGGCAGCTTTCTCGCAGAGGTGCTTGCAGCGGTCATTGTTCCTGCACGAGGCTGCAGGACACAGAGACCCAGGGACCTATCAGGGCAGGGCTGACAGGCAACCATTGTTGTTTGCTCCACCCTGGTGATTCCCTGAGACCCCGCCCCACCCAATTTACAATCCCACCCAAGCTGTGCACAGAGGCTTTTGCATACGAATGGCCTGGCCTTTCTCTGCCTAAAAACCTGTCAAACTGCAGCTGGGTCAGAGAACCCCAGAGCTTCCAAAAGAAGGCCTAAGTCTCGAATCAGCAGCCTGCATTGCTTCACAGCTGAGATCTCTGTGGGTGACTCCATGACATAGCTTGAGGCGGTGTAGGTTATACTCACTGCCTTTGCTTGTCTAACTCCCCTGCTACATGACATCCTTCAATGTTCGACCTATGATTAGGCTAGGCCCATTATGATACCCAAGCAGAGTGATGGGGAAAACCCAGATCTTTGGTGACGTTGCTCAGCAGCTGTAAGAGCCAGACATAGGGCCCATCTTACCTCATCTTATGTGAGACAGGTTTTTACATTTCTTTTTTCATTTTGTTCATGGTTTGAGTTCACCATCTACTACTTTCACCAAAAAGCATCCAAATTTGTACAAGTTCAAACAAACAGCGTCAGGACTCTGTATTTCATCTGCGCTTCTCTCTAATGCTGGCTATATTCCACTGCAGGAGGGCTGCATACATACATCTGAATGGTTCTGTATTTGAAAAATCGTAGGGAAGGGCTCTGATTGGTCTGGCATGTACAGATGGCCTGCACTTTGGACCAATTATGTGCCCAGGGATGGGATATATTCTGAATGGCACAGGTTGGGTTACTTGTCTATAATCTTGGATTAATCAGCCTTTGGCAGGGAGGGGTTGAGGGAGGAACAGAATAGACGTTGCTCCGGGGAATGGGCATCCTATTGCATCTGCATATACTCCTACCAAGGTTTTCAAAATGTGGTCCCCAGACTCCCAGTATGTGCATCCCAGGGAAATTGTCAGAAATGCAAATTCTTAGACCCCACCCCAGGTCTCCAGAATCAGAAACGCTAGGGGTGAGGCCCAGCAATGAGCACCAGGATTTCTGATGCAGGCCAATGAGAATTACAGGCCACAATTATACAAGAATTAACAGCAAATGCCATGGTGGTTAAAAAAAAAAGTAGCAATAATGTTTGATCAGAGGATGAGGAAAGCCTTAAGAAAGGAGGTCTTAGAGATGGTTTAAAAGATTGGGTAGATTGCTTCAAATGAATATAAGGTCACATATAATGTTATAATTAAAATAAAGAATTTTAAAAATCCTTCACTCAAGTCAACTGTTTGCTTTTACCTATGGTCTTTCCCATTCTTGGTCCGTCAAAAAACATATATATTTTTTGGTAACTAACACAGGTTGAATTTTCTATTTTACTTTTTTCACTTACCAGTTTTCTTCCTATACATGATGGTTTCTATTAAAGCATTTTGAACATTTACAATGACTTTGGGAAATTTTATTTTTAAAAATTTTAGAGGCTATCTCTAGATTCACCACCCTAACCCAATCATTATGATCATTTCCTTCTAGTCTTTTTTTCTGTGAAAGTTAAATACATATTAGAACAATAGCAGATATAGATATAGTCCAAACTTTACTATTTATTATTGAATAGTTTCATTATGCACAAGAGGAGAGCAAATAAATTTATTATAACTTATTAAACCAATCCATTAGGGGACGTTTTGGTTGTTTCCAGTTTCTGCTATAATAAACATCTTTGTGTATAAAGTGCTTTCTCTTACATTTTGAGTTATTTCCTTAGAATAGATTTCCAGAAGTGGAATTACAAGGTCACAGGATACAAACTCTTTTATGGCTTTTGATGCCTTATGCCAAATTTCTTCCAAAAGGTTTATACCAATTTACATTACCACCAGCAACGTGTGTGAATGCCAGTTTTTCCACATCCTTGGCAGTTGGGGCATTTTAATTAAACAAAAAAAAATTTCTTTTTGCCAATTTAACAGGGGAAGAACTTTACCTTGTTTTAATTTGCATTTTTATTACTTTACCTAACATTACTTAATAAATATTTTCTCATGTTACTTTAATGTTCTTAAAAAGCTCTTTTATGATTGCAAAGCCTTTTTATGGTTGGGATTTAATGAGTGAATATAAAGGTAGGGCATTCTAGTTTAGAGACCACCACGAGCCATAGCACAGGGTCAGGAAAGGTCAAACACAGCCTGTCAGAAATGGAATTCATTGTTTTCAGCATCCTTCTCCTTCTGGGCTCCCATCTTATTGAATAGCATCACCAGACATCTAGTCATTCAAGCCAAGGCCTGGGCATCATTGTTGACTTCTCCTGGTGCTTCATCACCTCCATTCAATCAATAATCAAGTCCCCTAAATTCCTCTTTTTTTTTAAATAACAGGGGAGAGTGCAAACACAGTCCCCCACTACCACAAATTATGCAGCCGAGTTTCCCACATTTGGGGAAATCGCAGGGGTTAGCACATCCCGAGTGCAATGGATAAGCCTTGCCCTGGGAAAGCAAGGCAACTGCTTTGGCATCTCCCCTGCCAGGTAAGTATCCCTAAATTGCTCTTGATACCTTACTGCTACTACCTGAGTTCAGGCCATATCATCTCTTTCCAACACTATTACAAGGACTTCTTAGAGCAGCGGTTCTCAACCTGTGGGTCGCGACCCCTTTGGCAGTTGAACGACCCTTTCACAGGGTCGCCTAAGACCATCCTGCATATCAGATATTTACATTACAATTCATAACAGTAGCAACATTACAGTTATGAAGTAGCAACGAAAATAATTTTATGGTTGGGTCACAACATGAGGAGCTGTATTTAAAGGGCCAAAAGGTTGAGAACCACTGTCTTAGAGAAATGCAATATTCAAGTAGCATTATGTTTATTCTACCCAAAATTCTGCCTTTAATTTGTTTTCTTTTCAGATCATCCGAATTAGGAAATAAGATAACATTATTTGTTTTAGGATCAAGAACATAGCATGTGCCCTGGCTGGTTTGGCTCAGTGGATAGAGCATTGGCCTGCGGACTGAAGGGTCCCAGGTTCAATTCCAGTCAAGGGCACATGCCTGGGTTGTGGGCTCTAGCCCCAGTGGGGGATGTGCAGGAGGCAGCCAATCAATGGTTCTCTCTCATCACTGATGTTTCTATCTCTCTCCCTCTCCTTTTCTCTCTGAAATCAATAAAAAAAATATTAAAAAACAAAACAAGCCCTAATGAGCGTAGGCCTGCGGACTGAGGAGTCCCAGGTTCGATTCTGGCCAAGGGCATGTACCTTGGTTGCGGGCACATCCCTGGTAGGAGGTGTGCAGGAAGTGGCTGATCAATGTTCCTCTCTCATCGATGTTTCTAACTCTCTATCCCTCTCCCTTCCTCTCTGTGAAAAATCAATAAAATATATTTAAAAACAAAACATAGCATGTGAATTCTTAAGTTCAAAGTGCAAGCTGATTTTCTCATTTTGAAATGTTGCTATTCTTTCAGATTACCCTAAATTTTTTTAAAAATATATTTTATTGATTTTTTTACAGAGAGGAAGGGAGAGGGATAGAGAGTTAGAAACATCGACAAGAGAGAAACATCGATCAGCTGCCTCCTGCACACCCCCTACTGGGGATGTGCCTGCAACCCAGGTACATGCCCTTGACCAGAATCGAACCTGGGACCCTTCAGTCCGCAGGCTGACGCTCTATCCACTGAGCCAAACTGGTTAGGGCAGATTACCCTAAATTTTATATTCTTTTTAGTGTTATTGATTTTTAAAACATATATGTGAATAATTTAGAGTTGCAATATCTTCTATATATGAAAAAGTCTAAGCGACCATTATGACAGAACGACCTGTCACTATGACGTGCACTGACCACCAGGGGGAAGACGCTCAATGCAGGAGCTGCCCCCAGCCCGCAGGCTCCGATAACCAATGGGGCCTGCCAGCCAACCTGCAGGTTCCTAGACCTGGCCGGCAGACCCCGATCACCTGATCGGGGTTGGGACCCCAGGCTAGGACAGGGTACCAGGGGTGGGTGGCGGCAGACGCAGGCATGAGGGAAGGAGAAGGGGGGGAGGCGGGAACCCGATCGGCCCTGATCACCAGCAAGGCCTAGGGACCCCACCCGTGCACAATTTCATGCACTGGGCCTCTGGTTTATAAATAGAGTGAAGTCATTGAGGAAATTAACGTGTTCATTTCTTTTTTTTTTAAATATATTTTATTGATTTTTACAGAGAGGAAGGGAGAGGGAAAGAGAGTTAGAAACATCGATGAGAGAGAAACATCGATCAGCTGCCTCCCGCACATCCCCTACTGGGGATGTGCCCGCAACCAAGGTACATGCCCTTGACTGGAATCGAACCTGGGACCCCCCAGTCCGCAGGCCGATGCTCTATCCACTGAGCCAAAGCAGTCAGGGCAACGTGTTCATTTCTTAGTAAGTTATTACCAAGGCAACGTCTTTAGGTATCACAGGAATCGTAACACCCAAGCAGAGAGACATCCTATCACTTCTGTGCGTGAGGATGCACTGCTTAGCACCACCAGTGCTCTGATGTTGAAAGAGCCAGAATCTTTAGAAGAATTCCTAGATTAAGTATCTGTTATACTGTATACTATCTTTAGTTGGAAAAGCAAAATGCTCTCCTTGAAGACTTTGATTCTGTTGATGAACATTTCCCAGACTTTGACGACTTCTTTCCCCTGGGAATCCAGCTCTAGCAGCTCGGGGCTCTCAGAGACACTCAAGGCTGCAATGGGCAGGGTGCCCTCACCTCTTACTGCGTCAGAGAGATCAGTCTTACTTTTTTGTTCTCTGGGCCTTTGGTTATATTTTGTTTGATTGATATTTCTGAACTGAAAAAAATTCTTGAAACATTGAGTCCTACCTGATATTTCCTTCTTTCTTTCCTTCCTTCTGGCCTTCCTTTACTTCCTTCTTTCTCTCTGTTTCATTTCCTCTATTTTTTGTAGTGAAATGAATTTCTGCTAACAATTATTTACAAGATGGCAAAAAATGTCTATAGTATTTACATAGAGAAAGTAAATGATGAGGACTCTGAAGAATTTCTATTAAAAAGAATTCAAGGCAGTGTGCCCTTGCCAGTCCCCTGCACTTGCTTCTTGCTTCAACAGTAGACGGAACAGACCCAGGGCCACCCTTTCTTCCAGCCTCTGACCACCCTCCAACCTCTTTTCCAACACCTCAGCCACCCTCATCCTGAGACCAGCCAGTACTGTTTTTTTTTACCTTAACTCCCTAGTGCCCAACAACCATGAGCTCCCAAACTCATCAGAATTATTCCACCGAGGTGGAGGCTGCGGTCAGCCGCCTGGTCAGCCTGCCTCTTCGGCCTCCACCTACCTCTCTCTGGGCTTCTATTTCGACCGTGACGGCTCTGGAGGGTGTGGGCCACTTCCTCGAGTTGGCGGAGAAGAAGCGTGAGGCTGTCCCGTGTCTCTTAAAGATGCAAAGCCAGCATGGTGGCTGCATTCTCTTCCAGGGTGTGCTGAAGCCTCCCCAAGATGAGTGGGCAAAAGTCAGGACGCCGTAGAAGCCAACATAGTCATAGGGAACCCAAACCAGGCCCTGTTGGAGCTGCAGGCCCTGGATTCTACCCACACAGGCCCTCAGCTCTGACTTCCTGGGGAACCGCTTCCTGGGTGAGAAGATGAAACTCATCAAGAAGATGGGCGGCACCTGACTCATCTCTGCAGCCCCCAGGCTGGGCGGGGCAATCATCTCTTCAAAGTTGCTCCTCAGTGCAGGCGTAAGGGGGGGAACAAAAACTTTCAACAATAAAGTTTTGTTTTTTAAAGAACGGCTGCTCCTCTAGCACAACCGGGAGCCTTAGAGCCAGAAGCCAAAGAGGGACCCCTCTGCATCCCCTGGTGCCTCTCCCTGAAACCACTAGTCACCCTTTTAACCACCCTGGAGCCCTCTTCCGTGAATCAAATGGAAACGTTCAAGCTTAAGATACTGATTTATATGATAGGCAGAAAAACCATAATTTTAAAAAATTCTGGCAAAAACAAAATCGAATATAGCTATAGAAACATTTTTAGTTAAATCCCTTTTCAATCTTTATGTCCTTATCACTCTGTGACCACTCTAGCTGGCCCTGGAAAATCATATAAACTATGATTACATTTTCCTAATGTTCAAAATTGCCTTTTCTTTTTTGCTTAGTTTTCTGTGTAAGAATCATAAGTCTATTCCCAAATGCTGCAGCCAAACTGAAAAGGCTTCTCGTTACATATTTAAACGCATCAGGAATTCTTTCAGTGTCATTTTCTTCTCTGAGGCACCCTTCCTAATTCTAACCTGAACTGGGACTCTCTGTCTGTAGTGCAGCTGTTATCTGAGTTGGATCCTCTGACTTGGATTCTATGTCCGCTTCTTTCTTGGTTTACCCCTTGGGTTTGGTGAAGCATATATTTCAGAAACTTTCTGACAACAGTACATGGCACCTAAACAATTTTTTGAGAACTTGTGTAACTGAAGTTCTTTTTTTTTTTTAATTGATTTCAGAGAGGAAGGGTGAGGGAGGTAGAGATAGAAACATCAATGATGAGAGAGAATCATGGACCGGCTGACTCCCGCATGCCCCCCACTGGGGATCGAGCCCACAACCCATGTGCCTTTGATCAGAATCAAACCTGGGACCCTTCAGTCCTCAGGCCAACACTCTATCCACTGAGCCAAACCAGCCAGGGCTATCTGAAGTTCTTTATTTTCCCCTCACAGTTCATGGCAAATTAGGCTGGATATAAAATTCCAGATTGGAAATTCTTTTTCCTCAGCATTTCTAAAGCATTGCTGCCTTGCCCTGTTGCTTTATATGTTGCTTTTAAAAATCTGATGCCATTCTGATCCTTGATCCTATGTATGTCACTTGCTTTTTTCTTTCTGGAAGTCCTTAGGACCTTCTCATTATCCATAGAGTTTTGAAATTTTACAGTAATTTGCTTTAATGTGGCATGTCATAATCCCTGGGCATGGGTAGTTCCTTTTGACCTATAAACTTAGGTCTTTCAGTTCTGGGAATTTTTATTATATTTCTGAAAAACCTCCTCTCTATTTTCACTCTTCTTTCTTTTTGTATTTCCAATATTGGGTATGTGTTGGATCTCCTGCACTGATCCTCTAATTTTTAAAAACTATTTTCCATCTCTTTGTCTTTTGTTCTATTTTCTATCATCTTTCCTTCGCTATTTCTATCATATTTTTATCTCTACTTCTATTATGTTTCTAACTCTTGTATTTCTTTAATTTTGGTTGTATTTCTAGGTACCCTAATTCTCTGCTTTTACCCTAGATAATAAAAGGCTAATATGCAAATCGACCCAATGGCAGAACAACCGGTCACTATGACATGCACTGACCACCAGGGGGCAGACGCTCAATGCAGGAGCTGCCCCCTGGTGGTCAGTGCGCTCCCATAGGGGGAGCGCTGCTCAGCCAGAAGCTGGGCTCACAGCTGGCAAGCACCGCGGCGGTGGCGGGAGCCTCTCCTGCCTCCACAGCAGCACTAAGAATATCCAACTGATGGCTTAGGCCCGCGAGAGGGCACAGGCCAGGCTGAGGGACACCCCCCCCCCAAGTGCACGAATCTTGTGCACCAGGCCTCTAGTGTTTTATTTATTTATTTATTTTCAAATTAAAGAGTCACATTTATTGCAAATCCGGGACTATGAGGGGGCATTTCATTCTCCCAGATCTCATAGTCTAGGCCTCTAGCATTTTAATAACATTCTATTCTTAACACCTTTGATTAATTTACTTTTTTATATATATATTTTAGATATTTTTAATATTTTTATATTGGTAATATGCCAATCTCTTTCATGAAAAAAAAAACATATGGTTTGTAGATTTCCAAATGGTTCTATTAAATTCTCCTGTCAAAGTCGGTCTGGTGGAACACAAAAAGATTTGGTGTGAAGGGTTGTCCTATTGGGGTTTGAAAATTGATATTGATATTTGTATTATGTAGATTAAAGAAACAAAAGCTGTAAAATGTTTAAATGACAATCCATATCTGAATCTTTTCAAAAGCAAGATATTTATTTGAGGAATAATTGTGGTAATTTCTTTTCCATTAGAAATGAATATTGCCCAGCAGGCATGGCTCAGTGATTGAGCGTCGACCTATGAACCAGGAGGTCATGGTTCGATTCCCGGTCAGGGCACATGCCTGGGTTGCCATCTAGATCCCTAGTGTAGGGCGTGCAGGAGGCAGCTGATCAATAATTCTATCTCATCATTGACCTTTCTATCTCTCTCTCCCTCTTTCTCTCTGAAATCAGTAAAAAAAATTTAAAAAAAAAAGAAATGAATATTGTTCCCAGAATTGTCTCCCTACTTCCTCATTCTATTATTTTGACTATTAGAGTAAAAATAATAGTCATTAGGCTAAGATGTGTCCAGGAGTTAGGAGTCAGCTAGGTCAGTGGTCGGCAAACTGCGTCTCGGCAAACTGCGGCTCGCGAGCCACATGCGGCTCTTTGGCCCCTTGAGTGTGGCTCTTCCACAAAATACCGACTTCTGCACATGGGCCACAAAGTTTCAATCTCACTGTACGTGCACGCCCGCATGTGGTATTTTGTGGAAGAGCCATACTCAAGGGGCCAAAGAGCCGCATGTGGCTCACGAGCCACGGTTTGCCGACCACTGAGCTAGGTGACAGGAATTTTTCAGCTCCATTGTCTAATGGGACCTCAGATGTACATGTAGTTCATCACTGACTAAAACGTAGTTATGGGGCATATAACTGTAAAGGCCTGTCTGTTCTACTGTGGTAACTACTGAAGCTGCTAAAATGTAACCTCATTCAAGATACATATAGAATGAATTTTAAAAAGAAAAGTGGTTTGCCTTGGAAATGGTCATGAAAAGTCTATGTTCCCCTTCCTCAGCTGGACGCTGCGGTTTCTCGGGGTTGGGCCTCCAACTCTGACCAAGGGCTAGTTCGATGCTACACCAGGTGGATGCCCGCCATTTCACGGGATCCGTTCTGTTTCAATATTTCACAAGCATGTGTTTTCTTCTTTCTCTCCTATTCTAGTGAGACTCTATACAGCTTCATTTCCCATGTCAGAGAAAGCGTTCACAAGGTAAGTACAGCTACATTTCAAAGAGTTAGAACATCTTACACTTTAAGAAGTTTAATCATTATGTTGTCTGGACTTTAGTTCATGTAGAATAGCAATATATTAACAACTTTTATCATTAAATGACAATTCTCCAAGTTAGTAACAATCTGTGAATTTTTTTTCTTAATTTTGGGTTTCTTAGTTGCAGACATCGGTGGAAAAGTCTGAGGAGCATCTCAGTTCAAGAAGCCAGTCCATTTTGGATTCTTTGGAGACTGTGGCCAAGACCTGTGAGTGCCTCCTGTTTGCGGTTATCAGCAGAGGGCACTGGCGGGCATGCGTGGGAACTTTCGGACCCTGGCCGGGTTCTGCAGGTAGTGAGGTTCCATACTGCGTTTCAGATGCGAGGTGGGTGCAGAGGTTGGTCCTGAAATGTGACGCGCACTAAGCGGGGTCGGGGACCCCTGTGTGGGAAGGCCCCTGTCCCTAGATGCCTTTTGGGCAGCCCTGATCGTCCGCCCAGTCACCGCTGGAGCTCTGCCGGGTCGCTCAGCTCCCTGCGGGGGCAGTTGCAGCACCCCAGGAGGTCACAGTTCGATTCCTGGGCAGTCGCAGCACCCCAGTCTCAGCTGACCTGCCAGCTGTGCTGCCTGGAAAGGCTTAGAAACAGAGACTGTTCCCTTAGGGTTAGAATACCCCGTCACCTGCTGTTCTCCTGGCTGCCTGGTTCAATGAGAGCTTTTCATAGTGAATCACAGAATCTCTCTTAACCTCAGGTACAGTTTGTGGTTTGTAGGGTCCCCTGCTCTGCCAATTCGTGAGTGACGTTCAGCTGAAACCACGATCCTGTCCCTTAATAAACACAAGAGCCAGCACACAGCTCCCCCTCGGCGGACACCTCCCGGAAGCAACAGCTAGACAGCAAGATGGTGGCTGCATCTGCACTTGTTTGCATTTGGCTGGGTGTTTATTTTCTATTTTAAACAAATCGAAGCCAACTTACTCAAATGCCATGGGATGGATTGCTCATGATTTACAAAAATTAATGCCTTTGTGTGGCTTAGAAATCAATCCCCATATGTCTGCAAAGAAGCACGGTACTGTGTGCTGGCTTCCAGCCTGGTGTCCCACACTCGGCCGCTGTGCGTCTGCGTGGAACCCGCTCTGGAAGCCTCGAACTGCTACCCGCACAGCAGCAGCAAGACACAGAGCAGAACAAGCCAGGAATTCGGCCTTTGCAGGACAGGATGGGAAATCCCACCCAAGAGCCCAGGAAAGCGCTCTGCTCTCTGCATTAACACCAGTGAACTCCAGGGGGGATGGCAGCAACGCTGTGAGCGTAAGGTCCGCAGGGAATGGGAGCGCCAAGGCCCCAACCCAAGACCAAGGCAGAGGGGATGGCACTGAGTCTGGCTTATAGGAGGCGTGGGGTCCTGACCCTCCACCCTGAGGGCTCCTTACCTGTCAGAAGGCAGGGCTCAGGAGAGAGGCAGCGGCAGGAGGAGCAGGAACACGGTGGCATCGTATTCATTCTTGAAAATGGGCACAAGTGCCTGTCCTCAGTCAGCCCTTCTTGGTAGGAAGTGATCAGGAGCAGGAAGCTGGTCCCTGGGAGAGGATCAGACAAGTCCCCTGTCACCCGGCCAGGCACCCAGCCGGCCCAGAGCACGGGACTTGCCGTCGCGGCCCTCAGGCAAGGGGCGTCTCCTGCGGGAACTGCTCTGTCGCTGTGTGACTGGTGCCTTCACAGGTCAGGAGGTCTTTCCCGTCACAGTCCGCCTGTTCAACCAGAAGGATTACTCAAAGCCATTTAATCGCCCTCTTCTTGTTCGTCCTCTAAGGACACCGAGGACCAGAGCAATGAAATGTGTTTCTGCCCTGGCCGGTGGGGTCAGTGGTTAGCGCATTGGCCCGCATTCGATTCCCAGTCAAGAGCACATACCTGGGTTGCAGGTTTGAGCCCAGGCCCCCCGTTGGGGCTCCTGCAGGAAGCACCCAATTGATGTTTCTCTCTCCCCTTCTCCCGCCCTCCCTTCCACTCTCTCAAAAGCAATGGAATTCCTGAGCCAGGCACACAGACTGGTGTGAAACAAGGTCCCACTGTCCCCTAGTTCTATTGCTGTTGTTTTTAATGAGCTGCTCCTTGGATGTGTGTTTGTTTTGTGTTAGGAGAGGAGTTATGTTCTTATAAATAAAGGTAGAAAAATGAAAATATACAAAAGCAATTGTAAAAATATCCTTAGGTGAGGATTAAAAAATAAATAAAATGAATTACCAAGGCCATCCACATCCTACTTTTTAAAAAAATATATTTTGTTGATTTTTTACAGAGAGGAAGGGAGAGGGATAGTTAGAAACATCGATGAGAGAGAAACATCGATCAGCTGCCTCCTGCACACTCCCTACTGGGGATGTGCCCGCAACCAAGGTACATGCCCTTGACCGGAATTGAACCTGGGACCTTTCAGTCTGCAGGCTGATGCTCTATCCACTGAGCCAAACTGGTTAGGGCTCCACATCCTACTTTATCTTGGGTTTAGGTGAGCTAATTAAAAGAGAGCAGTACTGCCCTAACCGGTTTGGCTCGGTGGATAGAACATCAGCCTGAGGACTCAAGGGTCCCAGGTTCGATTCCGGTCAAGGGCATGTACCTTGGTTGCGGGCACATCCCCAGTAGGGAGTGTGCAGGAGGCAGCTGATCGATGTTTCTCTCTCATCGATGTTTCTAACTCTCTATCCCTCTCCCTTCCTCTCTGTAAAAAAAATCAATAAAAGATATTTTTTTTTAAAAAAGAGAGCAGTACTTTTACCTAATAGGTATCAGTTCTATTGAAAAATATGATCATTAGGCCCTGGCCGGTTTGGCTCAGTGGATAGAGCGTTGGCCTGCAGACTGAAGGGTCCCTGGTTTGATTCTGGTCAAGGGCACGTACCTGGGTTGCAGGCTCCTCCCCAGCCCGGGCCCTGGTCTGGGCTTGTG